ACAAGCCCGCTACCACTGAGCTGTGTCCCCAGCTCTTTTGTTTTATTTTGAGACAGAGTTTTGCTAACTGGCCTCAAACTCGTAATCCTCATGCCTCAGCCTCTTGAGTAGCTGGGCTAGTAGCCTTCTCTGACATTCTTTTCTTAGTACTTTATTTATTTTTAAACTTTAGTTATTTATTTTGGTCTTTTTGAGACAGGGTTTCACTATGTAGTTTACGCTGGCCTTGAACTCACTATGTAGCCCAGGCTGGCTTCGAACTTGCAGTGATCCTCCTGCCTCAGCCTCCTGAGTGCTGGGATGACAGACATGTGCCACCACGCCCAGCCTTTTTCTTAGTACTTTAACAAGATGTGTCCACCTGGCGTGTCTATCTCAGCAGAGCCTAAATTTTTATTTCACTTCAGTGGCAGCCCCTTATTCCATCAGATTAGTAAGTAGGTCACAGTGGAACCCGTCCCATTTGGGGACATCCCCTTCAGGTTCCCGCCTTGTACCTGAGGCATCTCACTCGGTGTCTCTGGGAGTCCAGCTGGTCAAGCCTGCGGCACCTGCCGCTCCTCCGTGTCCCCTCCGCTGGGTCCCCACCGGGTGACTCGCAGAGGAAGGGGCCGGGAGCTGCCCCCAGAGCCCGGGCTGCTTCTGCTCCTTGGCTTGGAGGGTGGTGCATCTGGGCCCCGCTGATGTTTCTGGACAGCTGATTGGCTGCGGACATGGAGGTAACAGCACAGGTGCGGGACACGCGTGACCCCGGTCTGCAAAGCCTGGATGCGCACGTAATTCCAGGACAGTGGCGCTGCTCAGTGCTTTGGTTTTCGTTTTTAAAATTTTTGCCCTGAATTTTTAAAATTTTACTTAAAATTTTTAAAAAATGTTTGTTGGCCCACGTTTGCAGCACATAATGGTCACGTTCATCCCCGGGCACTGGCACGTGGACAGAACCCATGTTCACCCCCCTCCATTTCTTGGTCCCCTGCCGTGGTACACACCTGTCATCCCAGCAATTGGGAGGCTGAGGCAGGAGGATGGCCATGAGTTCAAGAGCAGTCTGGGCCACAGAGGGAGTTCAAGGCCAGCCTGAAATGCAAAGCAGAGCCCTGCCCAAAAAGCAAAAAGATAATAATAATAATAATAATAATAATAATAATAATAATGCATAGGCCTCAACTGTTTATTTATTTTGTGGAACTGGGGATGGAACCCAGGACTTCGCACTGAGCTACATCTCCAGCCCTGGTTTATTTTTCTTGTTACAGTGAAACAGGATCTCACTGGGTCTCTACATGGACCAAATTGGCCTTGAACTTGTGATCCTCCTGCCTCAGCCTCCAGAGTGCTGGGACAGTCGGCATCCACCGTCAAGCCCAGTTTAAATTTTCTTAATTATCTGAATAATGTCCTTCAGAGTTGTGTTTTTGTTTTTAGAGTACGCTCTTGAGGGTTGTGTCTCTGTCAGTGTCCTTTAGTCTAGAACTGTCCTGCTTCTCCCTTCCGCTCATCCTTGAGAGCCCTGGGATTTTTGGATTCATCCAGCCCTTGGTTGTTTCTCCACATTTCCTTGGGTTTGGGTTTTGTTTTCGTTTCCGCACCCCATACCAGGAGGCACCTGGTGTCAGTTTGTCCCGTGACTGAAGGCGTCTGATCAGTTGGTTAAAGTGTTGAGCACCGAGTTTATTCACTGAAATGTATCTTTCCCCCTCTGTGAATGAGCACTTGTGTGTGCGGTGGTCGGTTGCTTTTCAGGCAGGGCTTTGCTGTGTAGCCCAGGCTGGCCTGGGACTCGCCTCGATCCTCCGACCTCCGCCTCCCGAGGGCCGGGATGACAGGCGTGCACCACCACTCTGAGACTTCTGGGCACCAGGGTCCCGGGTCTGTTTGCTTTGGCGTCCTCACCCTGGCCACACCCAGATGTGAGGCCGTCTGCCTCCAGGAGCCCAGTGTGTGCGTCCTGGGGCCGGGCTGCGGGGAGACCCCAGCCACCTCTGCCTGCTTTGTACCGGGCCTAGAGTCACGGCAGTAGATTTTCAGCGTGGCTCTGTGTCCCATCTGCAGAGCTGCTTGGGGGGGGTCCCAAGGTGCAGATCACACCTTGGCCGTGCGACACTCGCTGAGACGGTGCTGCCTGCAGGTGGGCCGAGAAGCAGGTTGGGGACAGGTGTCGGGGACCGAGGCCGTGGGTGGCGCCAGGTGCAGCAGTGTCAGGCGGCTGGGTGAACCCCGGAGCTGAGGGCCGGGCAGCGGGCTGGGACCTGGCATGGCACAGACTGAGGACATGGTCATAGAAACTGAGGGGAAACTCGTGCTGGTCCAAACTGAGTACTATGCCAGGTGTGAGGGCGCGCACACCTGTGATCCAAGCACTCAGGAGGCTGAGGCGGGAGGATCACAGAGAGTTCAAGGCCAGCCCGGGCTACCGAGTGAGGCCATCTCAAAAAGCTAATAAATAAACAGACAGTATTTAAAGTGGTTACATGATAACCCAGTAAGTCACAGTGCATGTGCTGTGTATTATAGAATTCTTTGAGTAGAATGAAAAGGATCCTATACTCTGCAGTGTATATTTACATTTAAAATGTTTTAAAAATTTCAACTACACAGAATTGAGTTATTTCTTGTACTTCTGCCTGGGGTGCGGGGTGGGGTGCCGGGGCATCGGGTCCCCTGGGCCAGGGTCACCAAGCGTGGGGAGGCTGCACGCCCCGCACCGCCGCGGCTTCAGCGATCGGGAAGTGGGATCCCGGTCCGAGGGCCTCCTGCTGCAGACTGCGTGTGGTGTTTCTCAAAAGCCAGCCGCCCCGCCCCGCCCCTCCCGACTCTCCCTTCCCGTGGCTGCTATTTTAGAAAATAATGATTGACGAGCTCATGACTCCAGTCGTAAAAACATTCTGACAAATCCTAGGAGCTCCAGAGTGCACTATTTGTGGGGAAAGGGCTAGGGGCGGGGCCCAGGGACTTCACGCTGAGCTACATTTCCAGCCTTCTTTTTCTCTTTTATTTTGAGACAGGATCTTGCTAAGTTGCCAAGTTGCCCAGACTGGGCTTGAATTTGTGATTGTCCTGCCTCAGCCTCCCAGAGTGCTGGGAAGCAGTCTGCTCTGATAAAAACTGAGCACTCCTATAAAATTGACAATAAATGGTGCCGCGATTGCCCGGCACCTGCGTGTGCTGCCGACCACCCCAGCGGGGACTCCTGGGGTGCACTTGGCCCGAGGGACATGTGAAATATCGATCGAGGTGTTGATTCACTCAGCAAATATTTGTGGAGCACTGTCCAGGCCATGCGCTGCTCGGGTCCTGGGGACACGACACTGAGTTAAGCTGCCCTTGTCCACTCCCTGCTGCCAGGGTTCAGTGGGAAATAAACGTGTGTCCATTTACGCAGGTGCCCAAACACGGCGTCCAACAACTGGTCGCTGTCGTGGCCTCAGGGAGGGAAGAAAACAACGTCCTGGTGGGTTCGCTCCCATAGGACGTCGGCAAGGAAATACATGGCCGGGGCGAGGTGGCACACACCTGCAGCCCCAGCCCTCGGGAGGTTGAGGCAGGAGGATTGCTGTGCGTTCGAGGCCAGCCTGGGCTACGTAGTGAGACCCTGTCTCCAGAAAAACCAAAAACAAAAAGCAGAGCTTGCTGTCTGTCCTGTTCTCAGTCTTGGGCTGTGACTCATGCGATTAAAAAGTGCAGCTCAGCGTCTCCCAGGGAGCCGTGTCAGGGTGTCACGTGCAGCTGCTGCTGGCGAGAGCTCTGTTCTGGCCGCCGAAGGTGGACTCCCGGGTGGTCTCGCAGTGACCCAGCCTCAGAGCGCATTCAAAAGCCCTGACTGAGCCCGTGCCGGCCCCCGAGTGTCCTGAGGCCTCGTCCCAGGCTAACACCGGCGCTGGCGCCCGCCCCGCAGCCTGCTGGCCCGGGCTCGGCCCAGAAATAGCTCCGTGTTACTCGATCGGACTGCGGCCGTGCTCCCTGACACACGCGTGAGGCTGCTGGTTGTCAACACAGCTCGGGTCCAAGAGGCGGTGCCGGACTGTGACAGATCTTCCCAGGGTTGCGCAAGCCCAAGCCAGCTGGGGCTGGGGCGGGACTGGGCCGCCCGTCCTGACCCGAGGGCGCCGGAGGGAGGCGGAAGGCAGCGGCCGGGCCGGGCCCTTCCTCAGGTGAAGCGACGTCCCTGCCCTCGGGCACAGCCCGCAGTGGCCACCTTGTCCAGGCCAAGACGCCTGAGCCTGGGAGGAAACCTGGGAATGTGAGAAACCCGCTTCCGCGGAGACCGAGGGCGCCCTCAGGTCCCAGCAGTCACTCAGGAAGCGGCCCTGGGGGCTCCTCTGTGTCCAGCAGCTGCTGCTTGGGTAACTGCTGAGAGTGCTCAGTGCTTTAGAAGTTTTCACTTTTGTTTGAGACAGGTTCTCGCTGTGTAGCCCAGGGTGGCCTTGAACTTGCTGCGAACATCCTGCCTCAGCCTACAAAGTGCTGGGCTCACAGGCGTGTGCCACCGTGCTGGGCTGTTGCTGACACTTTCTCACTGAAGTAAAGAGTACGTCTGTGACGGCAGTGCTGTGCTTTGGCGTGAAGAACCACAGGACACTTAGAGTCAGGCTTCGTGGGCCCAGCTGGGTCTTTCCTGGGCCACACTGAGTGTTTACGCCATGACAGCACTGTAAAGCTGCCATTCAGCTCACAAATACCGACCTTGAGCCTGCGTGGCAGCAGACGCCTGTCATCCCCAAACTTGGGAGGCTGAGGCAGGAGGATTGCCACAAGTTCAAGGCCAGCCTGAACTACATAGTGAGTTCAGGGGCAGCCTGAACTATATAGAAGACTCTGTCTCAGGAAAAAACCCAAAATAAATGTTTTATATATGGGTGAGAACGAGGGAGAGCGAGAGATCTTTAGTGCACCAAGAGAGATAGAAGCATTTACTTTTAAACTGTATGTATATTGACTCTTGTGGGTTAAACAAGAATGTGGAAAAGCAGATCACCCACCCTGGATTGTTCGTTGAGCAGGTTGTGAGCCATGGCTGTGTGGATCCAGGCCCAGCAGCTGCAGGGGGACGCGCTGCACCAGATGCAGGCCTTGTATGGCCAGCACTTCCCCATCGAGGTGCGGCATTACCTGTCCCAGTGGATAGAGAGCCAGGCCTGGTAGGTGAACAAGGGTTTGGAATCTTTATTTTTACTTGGTGGGAGGGGGCTAGACACAGGGCTTCGCTGTGTATCCCAGACTGGCCTCATACTCGAGGCAGCCCTCCTGCCTCAGCCTCCTGAGTGCTAGGATGACAGCCGTGCCCCACCATGCCCAGCCAAACCAACACTTTTTTTTTAATTTCCCTAATTGCTGATGACCTACTTGGGAGAGGGAGGAGCTGGCAGCACAGCTGTATATTCTTGTTTTATTTTGTTTATGGGGTTGAGTGTCCAACCCTGGGCCTTGCGCAGCTAGGCGGGCACTGACTGCTGAGCCGCCTGGCCCTGCCGTTTCCGGCCAGCGGTTATCATCCACATCTCCTGCAGGGAGCTGCAGGCCTCCGCCACAGTGGCCACGGCGGCTCCTTGGGGCCCCACCAGGCGTCCCTGGGCTGCTCCTGAGGGGCCGGACGTCTGTCACAGCTGGTGCCCTTTGTGGCAGATTTCCGTTCAGAAACCTGCAGCCCGGGGCGGCCGAGTTCCAGGCAGGTGAGCAGAGCCCACTGCAGGACGTCCGGGCGGAGGAGTGCGCCAGCCGTGCCTGCTCCGCGCGGCTGCCCCGCTCACTCTCCTTTGACCCAGTGATTGGAGGACTGAGCAAAGCACCAGCTCAGCGTCTGGGGCGAGGCCTCGTTCAGTGACTGGCGTGTGGCTCCGCGCACAGTGCTTGCCCGGCGTGGCCAGGCCCTGGGCTCCAGCCCCACCTCTGCAAAATGAATTGCTTTTCCCTTTTTTGAGACAGGGCCTCACCCTGAAGTCCAGGCTGGCCTTAAACTCACAATCCACCTGCCTCAGCCTCCCCAGGGCTGGGATTAGAGGCCTACACCACCCTGCCTGGCCCCCCAGCACAAATGTAAAAGTGTGTTTTCACTTAGCCCGGCATCCATAATCTTAGCTGCTTGGGAGACTGAGGCAGGAGGGTCATTTGGGACCAGCCTGAGACCCCTATTTTTTTTTTTTCCATTACCGGGAATCGAACTCACTACCTTGCGCTTGCCAGGCAGTCGCTGTGCCGCTGAGCTAAATCCCCAACCCCCAAGGCCCCTATTTTAAAAACAAAATATTGGGTGGCTCTGGTAACATCCACCTGTCATCCCAGCACTCCAGGAGGCTGAGGCAGAAGGATTGCTGCAAGTTGAAGGCCAGCCTGGACTCCACAGCTGCCATGTCTCAAAAAACAAACAAAAAATACAAATAAACTTGCATGTGGCAGGTATCCCAGGTAGTCTTGCTACTGAATGAGTGCTAAAAAAAACCTCTTATTTATGTTGATATTAAGGAAAATATGAATATTATATAGTTTTGATTTCCTTAGGAAAATAAAGATTTTAGTGAAAAATCTTTAGTCCTTCATGTTGACACTGTCTCTGTAGACTCTTTCTTTTTTGTTTGTTTATTTTTTAATTTTTTTATTTGTTGCTCTTGTGTTTTGAGTCAGGGTCTCAGTATGTAGCCCAGGCTGGCCTCAAACTCACAGCAATCCTCCTGCCTCAGCCTCCCGAGTGCTGGGATGACAGGTGTGCGCCACCACGCATGCCCAGCAAGATTTGAACGTCCAGACCCAGTGTTCTGGCACACAGTTGGAAATCAGCTGCCAGCTGACCTCGAGGCGAGGGGCGGACGGAGCCCATAGCCGCATCGCTGGCCTGTCCAGCCGGTGCTCTCGGGGAGCGATGAGGTTTCAGCGCGGCCGCTGTTGTGTCTTCGTGCGTGGCAGCCTGGTGCTGCCTGCTCGCCCCGTGGCCTGCGCTGTCAGAAGAGGGAACGGGAGAGAAAGACGGAGGGGGAGGAACAGCCACCCAGTAGCGGGTGCTGCAGCGCCTGCCTGTGATACCAGCACTCAGGAGGCTGAGGCAGGAGGATCACCGAAGTTCCAGGCCAGCCTGAACTACATAGCGAGGCCCTGTCTCAATCCATCAAAAAGTAAATAAATGAAGGAGTCACTTGAGGCCAGGGCTGTGGCTGGGGGCAGAGCGCTGACCTTACACGCCGGGCCCGGGCTCCACCCGGTGTCCAGGTCACCCTGGTGTGGGTAGGTGTGTGCCGCGCGGCGCTGCGTGGGCAGGCCCCTGAGCGTGCATGTGTACATATCATGTGATTTTTTTCCCCTAGGGACTCAATAGATCTTGATAATCCACAGGAGAACATTAAGGCCGCCCAGCTCCTGGAGGGCCTGGTGCAGGAGCTGCAGCGGAAGGCGGAGCACCAGGTGGGGGAGGACGGGTTTCTGCTGAAGATCAAGCTGGGCCACTACGCCACGCAGCTGCAGGTGCGTGTGGGCAGGGCGGCCTGGGCTTTGGGCTCCCGGCTCCCACAGGGCGCTTCTCTCCTGACCCGAAGCCCCAAGAGAGTGGCTGTGGCTGGCCCGGCCTGGCTCCGGCATGCACAGGGCTCTGATGGTTTGCTTCTGTGGTTGCAGCTCTCTTTTTACTTATTTGAAAATAATTTGAAACGTACAGAAAGTTGCAAGAGGCTGGGGATATAGCTCAGTGGCAGAAGCACCTGTCCAGCAAGTACAAGGTCCTGAGTTCGATTTCCGGTACCCAGAAAAAAAACAAAGTTGCAAGAGCTGGGTGTGGTGCCACACCCCTGTCAGCCAGCACTCAGGAGGCTGAGGCAGGAGGATCACTGTGAGTTCAAGGCCAGCGTGGGCTACATAGTGAGACCCTTGTCTCAAAAACAAAAACAAAAAACATGAGCCTGGGGGTACCTACTATCAATATTACGCACACACTCCCACACGCACTCATGTGTTCACACACATACACACAGGCTTGCACACACACTCACGCTCACACTCACACTCTCAAGCATTTGTTTTTAGCCATCGTGAGTACCAGGTGCGCAGAGATGCCTCACCCCAAGCCGTCTGAGGAGTGGGCGGAGCCTCCTTGAGGGGCCGTCCCTTGGTGCCCCCCCCAGTAGACTTAGCTTTGTGCCGGCCCTGCTAGCACACCCTGCGATTCGTCCTGTCCGTCAGTGACTCCGAAGTGCACTTCAGGGCCTGCCCTGCCTGGACCTCATCCAGGAAGGCCATTGCATCTGGCGATTTCGTCTCTTTAATCTCCTTTAATCTGGAGCCACTTTGCAATCTTCCTTTGTCATTGATATTGTTTGTTTGTTTGTTTGTTTGTTTTTGGTACCAGGAATGGAATTCAGGACCTCTCTCTTGCCAGGCAGGTGCTGTACCACTGAGCTATATCCCCAGCCCCATGTTCGCTTGTTTTTGAGACAGGCTTTTGCTATGTAGTCAGGGCTAGCCTTGAATTCACTATGTAGCCCAGGCTGGCCTTGAACTCATGGTAGTCCTCCTGCCTCAGCCTCC